TTCCTCTTCCTATGACTTACCCTGACACTTCCCCTTGTTCCCCGGAGGAAATCGACCGCCGGCTGCAGTGTGATCCTATAATTGAGGTTCTTTTTTTATACTCACTCCGTCCCAAATCAAGCGCTTTAATCTGATTGCACTTTGAATTTAAGAAATAAAACTGATACTTTTGAATCTTGTGGTTTTAAATCAAACTTGCTTAGAATGTTGAAATAGGTAAACCTACTAAATATAGAAACAAAAAAGGAAATTATAAGATACTTAAATTGGGACAGAGGGAGTTTTGTTTAGAATCTCTTTATGGAATGGTTCATTTGGTTGAGGTATTTTGTTGGGTTTCTGTAAAGTTGCAAACTTGCTGGCTCCAGTTGAGAATCTTGAAGCCTAAGGCGAGATATGGTTTGGTAATACTTCTATGGTCTATACTGACCTAATGCCACGAGGATAAGGCTGTAAAAATAGTTTGAACAGTTTGATTGGCTAACAATCAGCTCATTACTTAAGCTTATCAATAGGTTCAGCTCTTACTATATCTACAAACATCTAAAAGTGTTTCCTTTTAAGTTTTTTAATCTAGGGTTGATGATTTTCTGTTGGTCTTCTTGTTACTTTAGGATTGCAAGCAAGTTGTCTATGAGTGGACTGGAAAATGTCGGAGTTGCCAAGGGACAGGACTTGTCAGCTACTATAACAAAAAGGGGAAAGAGACCATCTGTAAATGTATACCTTGCGCTGGAATTGGTATAAGAATTATACTTTTATTTCCTATCTGAATATTATCTTGCATGACATAGTTTATCTATACTGGTTTGCTTGGAGCACAGAGATAGCATTTGTAGATGGCTTCATTTGTTCTCATTGAATATCTATTGTAGGATTAAGCACTTCCCTGCTAGCATAGATTTAATTGGTAAGGTTTACAGCTGAGTGGTCTGTCAATATACATCTGACCTATTGAAGTTAAGGTAGCTTTCTATCTGTATGGATCTTATCCGCATTCCTAAATAGCTACCCCTTAGGAAAAGATCATGATGGAGCTGCTGAAGGAAGTCGAAGGGGGTGGGTAAGAGAGATGGTAAGTGGTGTCTAGAAGTAGGAGCTGTTGAAATCGGGGGGGGGGGGGGGGAGAGGGGA